CCAAAACCCAAAAAGCCAATTATCCAACCAAAGAAAAAATTGAAGATATTTATTACAATCTGCCCAGAGAAGGCTAAAGATGTAAGGATTCCAAAGGTTTCAAACACAAGATCCAGAGAAAATGCACTTCAATATGCTTTTGTTTGCTCTTCTAATTTCTGARCCTGTTTTAAATTTGTTGTTTTTCTTGAAGGGCAATAGTCAAACTGTCCCATCAAATTAATGCCCAAAGCCCTATTCACGTCACCATCGAGCCCCCAGATGGACTCACAGCTGCTGGGTTTATGAATCTTTCACATCTGCAGTCCTCTAGGAATGCCCTTCATTCATTCCTTTATGTTTGTGCTTCTCTGGTAGTGTTGATGTTGCTCACTGGCCCATTTATAATGCCCTATAAAGTGTTTCCCACTAATTGCTATGTTGGTTACTGTTTACATTGAAATATTTATGCATTTTCTTGCAGGTCAGAGACTTCTGCAGTAAACAGTGTGAACTGAAGGCTTTAAAGAAAATATCTCAATTTAGGTCAGGAGACCAGAGAACTGAACCAGTACACTCTGTTCAGTTCCAGCTTGCGTTCATCTGTAGCTGAAGTTCTTTTTGATAGGTTTTTGTCTGAGCTGAAGCTGGTTCWCCATCTGGGTGGGTCAGCTTAGGCTGTTTCCATGAGGAATCAGTCTGGTAGGATGAGAAGGGTCAGTAGTGGTGGGCTGCAGCATCCTTTGGAAAGAGTTTCCTGCCCACAGTGCTCTCTCTCCTCTGCAGCCTATGTATTACCATATTCTCTCAGTGGCATGACTTCTCTTCAGCTCCCTTGTTGCTCACTTAGGACTGCAGACTTAGGAGAAGCCGTGGCCTTGTGCTGCAGTGAGAATACAGAGAGAGACTTCTCTGTGTGTGGGGAAGAGCAGGCAAGGGGTGCCTTGCTGTCCTCCAGTTAAGCCAGACTTGTGTGTGACCYCATAGAGAATTTCACAAACATCCCATTTGCACGGAGCTGTAAGAGCACATGCACACCAGCAAATATGCACACCTGTCACATCTGTAGGGGAAATGCAGTGTGTGGTGTGCCTTTGGTACAGCCCAGCCAGCAGTAATGAGAGCCCTCGCTGCCAGTGGGAACGGCWGGGATGATGCAGCCAGCTCCATCCCTGCAGGAGCAGCGCCATTCAAACACAGTGTGGAGGGGCACTGGGAGCTCAGAGGGTGCAGGAGGGCTCAAACTGCGTGTGCCAACAAATGAATGAGTGAGGGACAGGGTGTAGGACGGGGGCTGTGTCGGTGAGGCACTGCTGCCTCGTTACCCCTGGACATRAGCAGGCTCCTCTTGGGGCACAGTGGCTTCCAGTGAGCTGAGCCAGGACACAGCACCCTGCTGCTTCCTCTCACACAGCCCTCCTCAGACTGGTACAGGCTTCAAAATAATAGCTCAGGGGCAGCCTTTCCTCAGGAAGAAATTGTGGTTTCAACTAGTTTTAGTACAGATCTATTTTCTCTGCTTGCTGACATCGGGCTCTGTCATTTGCGTGTAAATTAGCTACAGATTGAGTACACTGAGGTTAAGATCACTGCTGGCCTTCTCATCCATGTGATTGTACACATAACAATAGGAATTTGGCAGATGGCAGCTAAAAAAAGCAGATTCTCCATTTTTTAATCAAATGRCTTTTTTAAGATGGAATCCGTAGAATTTGCTTGTTGTTCCAGTAACTAAAATAAGCTAGAAGACTTTCAGATATCTTTTCAAAGGACCCCAGCTGATTCAATATACTTGTTACTGTGCATTCTTGTTTCATGGGTTGATTAACACATTGGTTTAAATGATTATTCAAAGTACTGCAGAGTAAAAAAATTTCTAAAGTAATCTATTAAGAAATTAACTGCTACCACTAGATTTTTAAAAGCATTTTTAGTACATTTCTGCAGATATTTGTCTGTTCTGGAATTTCAGTTAATTGAAGTTCAATGGATTTTTGTTTTAGTATTTAGGTTCCATGCTGGTAAAAGAGTTAAGAGGCACAGAGTCAACACAGGATGCRTGTGCCAAGATGAGGGTAAGTTTGTAAACCTGCTCCTTTTTCTATTGTAATAGTATTAAATGACACCAATCCATGATTGCTTGTACTTTGCCCTTTTTGCTTTTGTAAGGTACTGTTGCCCATTTCTTTTCCTTTCTTTTACATTGGTATTCAATAGGAAGTCTGTTGTGACTTATATCTTAATTTCAAGTAATAGCAAAATGTAAAGGTAAATTTTAATTTTGCATGATCTATCTAACAAAAAACCCCAAATGCATGTTATGTTTTCTTGTGAATCTCTGAGCATGTTTCAAAGTACTGTGCACACAATGTAAGCATCCAATATCCAGTTGTTTTATTAACAGAATTTATAACTTTTTTATTATAATCTAGATTGAACTTTCAATGTTAAATATGTAGCAGTAAATATGTTAGCATGCTACCAAACGCATTGGCTTTTACATATGGTCTAATCCAACAGTCACATAATCCTACTTTTGCTCACATGAGTATTTCCTTTAATTATGACTTATTTGCAAGCTTTTTGATTAAAGGGGGAAATGGGATCTAGGTCAGTTTCACCTGAAGATGGGAAAGCAGTGAGGTTTCCTTCAGACTGTTGAGAATATGTTTTCCTGTGGCTCTTTGGCCTGATACTGGTTTRTAGAAAATTACAGCAGTCTATCTCCAAGAAACATATTGCTGCTGGAAACTCAAAACAAGCCACAGCCTGATTTATTCCCAAATGTAGTTATAATAAGAACACACCTGTTCACAGCCATGATGAACATGTCGTGGTCTGGCATGATTAATTAATGAAGAATAGAATTGTTTGCTAACCTACCAACGTGTACAATTACCTAGATGAATGAGCAAAATCTTTTCTTCTGCATATCATACMTCTCTTATGCAAGATGTGTGTGAGCACAGGACGTGACATTGGGAACAGTTAGGGATCTGGAATACGTGTAAAATCCATGCAATCAGACAACCATTTCCTGCCGGTTCCGTATGTGCAGTGCTCAGACTCTCGTACGAGCTGTTTAAGCTGAGGGCTGACAGTAATTCACAATTATTAGATTGCCTGAAGATCTGAGGCTTTGCAGCTAATTACATGCTAATCATTCCYTACCTGGGCTTAAACTCCTCTGAAAAAAACCCCAACAATTTGACACAGAGCGATCTACAATCACGTATACGTGTTCTGRGGAATTAATTGAGGCTGCAAGCCTACCATATTCCAATCTAGTTTTGAATCTGTCAGGCTTAGCAGTTCAATTCCRTAGGCCTGTGCCTGTGCAGAAATTAGGGCAGACTTTGACACCATAGTAGCATATGACAACTTCAGTAAGTTGGCTGACTGAACTAGGAGGCATAACATCAAAAAAGGCACACTAAATAATTTACAGGCATTTTAATATATATTTCTATAAGTAATAAGTTTGGCCAATTGAAATTATAAAACTGAAAAATCTAAGTGTTTGAAATCAAATTCAATTTAAACTATACATTTCCTATATAAATAGTGAGGTTGCCCTAGTTTTCTATAGTACCATGCAGGACACTTATATAATATAGTGGTGGGGTTTATATATGTTTATTTTTTACATTCACTTTTGAACCAATTGTGCTGTGAGAGTGTTTATTTTCTGATTTGAGGTTTTTTATTGTAGAGATACTTGAATAAAACAGTTTTTAATCAGGATTTCATCTATTCTTTCTATCTAGTCCTTTTAATCATGTTCCTATTCAAGTCAAAAGCATAAAACTTTGACTTAATGGGAACAGATTATTATTTTAGCCTGTTTCCCAGTGAGAAAAATGTATCTTTTCCCAAAACCTTCTCCCTCTGGATGTCTCCTGAAAGTTGTTGTCCGTGAATTAGGAGTTTAGGTTGTCCAAAGTCATCCTGAAATTTTGCTGTGGTGTTCATTATTGTTTTTAAATAACCCTGGGTTGTCTTTGAAAAGCTAGCTTATGTTTTAGTTACATTTTACTTTAAATGTATTGAGAGGAACATATCACTTACAAAAAAAAAGAAATTAAAAGCTAGATATATTATATGTCTGGCTCTCAGGTACTGAATTCTTTATACTCATCCAGTGTCTCTGGAGTAAGTAAGATTTTTACATAGGGTTGTATTATCATGATTTTAATTTTTTTTTAAAAGCTTTAAAAACTTTTAAAAACTGAGGTCACTCCCCACAATTTTTTTAATCTTTCTGGACTCAGCCACATAATGGTTTTATGCAGAAYGCATGAAAATTAGGTATCTAATTTTTCTGTCAGTGTGGCTTTTGATTCTTCATCTTTAACAAATATATTCAAAAAAGTGTTGACATTCACTAGATATCTTTTAGTCAGCAGGTGCACAAGGATGAAAGAAGAGTATCAGCGAAAGAAAAATCTTCATCTTCCTTAATCATTTATAAATACAGAGAAACAACAAAAATGACATGTTTGCTGACTGCTGATCCCTCACTGTTAGCTGTAGATGCTTCCAGGACTTTCAATTATTGCAATTGATGGTTTTGGTTCTCGAGGGAAGTGTCCTGTGGATATTCCTTGTGTCTCTCTKCACAGAGGCTTACAGCAGCCTCCTTCTCTTGTAGCTTAAGAGTGAAGAGAGATTCTAAAGCTTCTATAATATTAAAAAAAAAAAAAAAAACACCAATAGTAATTAAAAAAAAAAATCTGGGAACCTTTACCTTAATAACTCTTCTTGGCAGTCCACTGTGCTTCTCAGCATTGTGCAGCAGTGTGCTCCAGCTGGGTAGATGATGGATTTGTTTGAGGAAAATCATGCAGATGCAATAGCTTCAGCTCAACACTGGGGTCAAGGTTATACAAGCTTTCTTCCCCCACCCAAACAGCAGATTCTTGCAGCCACTCAAAATTATGGATATTTGTCCAGAACTTTACTTTTTTTCATATATTTGCACTATATTTTATGGTTTCTTACTTGTTTCCAGCTATTTTCTCTCACAAACTCCCTCTCYAGTGGACAGCACCGTCTCCTTATCTCTATCCTCACCTGCTATAAACTGACCTTTGCTGCTTGGAGATTAAATCTTGCTGTCCTGGCCAGAATAGATTTATTAATTATATTTGAGAGATACCTTCAAGCAATTAAGCACTTTTATCTTTTTTGGTGTGGAAGGAAATACCCCAAGTTACATTTTCAATCAGATTGCTGCCTTCATTGCAAATTATCATGGGAACATGAATGGAGAGTAAGATGTGTGTTTGCATCAAAATTAAGACAAGGGATAAAGTTGAATTTGAGCAAGGAAGAGACTTGTTCTCTACAGAAGACTTCATCTGGCATTTACACATCTGAATTCCTTGACAATCTGGGAAGGGAATTGTTTTATATTCAGTGGCATGAGGACAGCAACAAGGTGCACTCTTTCTTTGCACAGTGTTAAATCACTGGTGTTGCATACGCCAACTGCACAGTCTAAACCAGTCAAATATTTACTGCAGCAGAAGGGAACTTAAATTTTATTCTTGGATCGTGCCACCTTCCTGAGTATTGTATTTCTTTCTTAAATATTTTCTTGTTAGAAACAGTTTCTTAAATTTCAGGTCAAAGTTCTGAGGAACCAGCAGTATAATTCTGTTCACAAAGCAAGTATTTAAATGTCTTGCTGACTTAAAACCAAAATGTCAAAGTTGGAATTGATACAAAATCTGCTTCTCTAATCTCGAGAGAGGAAGATGAAGCCGAGTTGACTCACTGAAAACAGGCAGCATCTGGGGCCTTTCTTCCTCATTTCATTTCTTCTTATATAAAGAAGGAACTGAATTTAGATGGCAGTCTCCTTATTTCTACTAAACCCTTTCTTAGTTTTCAATCTCCATTTCATTTTCCCTCCAGAAGTAGAAGCATAGAAGCCTCCATATGCCTTCTGGTGAAGCTCACTAGACAAATACCACGTCAGCATCAAGCACCATTTCAGGATTTATATTCTTCAGGCTCTGCTCTCTTGGGACTTGGAGCTCTGCCTTTCTCTTGTGTGGCCACTGCTTTCAGATGGCCTACAGTGGAACAGGGACATGGATATTACTCAAAAGAAAAAGTAGTGGTGGAAGATGTTATAGACATTCAGTCTCCATGCACATCTACATCCTGCATGTTCTTCAGAGCATTGTGCATCCTTGAGCCATGGCTGAAAGGAATGTAAGGTGTGGGAGGAATGCAGAGGAACRTTTAGAGGTATTGTGAAAGAAAAAAGCCATCCCACTCTCAAGTAGGTGCATTGCAGGTGCACCCCCAATGCAGTGTTCATATTGATGCTGTAGCATGGAGGCATCCACTAACTGTAGAGAAGTAAACAGTTCTGTACCACAAGGATTGCAGATGTAGTTTTATTCCAAGAAGTGTTAAATTGTGTCAGTAATGCATTTTTAAATTTCTTTGACTGAGAGAAGTTAGTAAATATTTATTAGAAGGCAATTTGGCTTCAAAACTAACTGGTCAAATGGGGTTTTAGACTTYTTATTTCAATTTCATCTCATGTATGATCTTGTCAAAGTGATTCACTCAAGCTCCTCTTCTCACGCTGGTCGAGAATGTGATTGTCCCACTTTATTCTGTGCTGGTGCAGCCTCACCCYGAGTCYTGTGTGCACTTTGGGGCASCACACTGTAAGAAGGGTGTAAAGCTGTTAGAGACTGTCCAAAGGAGGGCCACCTTTGGACAGTCACCTGCCAGGGTGGTGAAGGGCCTTGAGGAGAAGCCACATGAGGAGCAGCTGAGGTCCCTCAGTCTGTTCAGCCTTGAGGAGACTGAGGGGAGAYCTCATTGCAGCTACAAACTTCCTCCTGAGGGTAAGAGGAGAGGCAGACACGAGTCTCTTCGCTGTGGTGCACAGTGACAGGAATGGTCTGAAGTTGTGTCAGGGGATGTTTAGGTTGGATATTAGGAAAAGATTCTTCACCCAGAGTGTGTCTGGGCACTGGAACAGCTCCCCAGGGAAGTGGTCACAGCACCAAGCCTGACAGAGTTCAAGAAGTGTTTGGACAATGCTCTC